AGGTGTGACGTTAGTTTGGAGGATCAGAGGCGAGAACTAGCCTCACACACCCCACACCCCTTTCCCCTGCAGAGCCAGAGCAGAGCCTGAAGCCCTACAGCCTGGTGCGGCCGCTGCTGGTGTCTGCGCTGCGGCCGGTGGTGCTGCTGCCTGAGTGCCTGGCGTCCCGGCTCATCCGCAACCTGCTGGACCTGCCCAGCTCCCGGCTAGACTTCCAAGTGTGCCCAGCGGGTGAGCTTGAACCCCAGTAGGGAGGGCCAGGCCCCAGAGCAGCAAGGCCCAATGAGCTATGTCCTTCTCGCTCTTGCTCTGTAGAAAGTCTTTCTGGAGATGAACAGTGCTCACCCTCAGCACCCGGAGCCCCCAAGGCCCAACCTGCCACCCCTGGGCTGGGCAACAAGATCCGCACCATCCAGGAGTTGGTTGGGAAGGTAGGTGCTGGGGGTGCTGGGCCCGAGGGGCTGCTCTTTTGTGCCAGCATTTGTGCTGCCTCTAGGGCTCCTCAGTTTCCTCACCTGTGACGTGGGCAGGTTGGGGCCTTTGCCCTCACCGGGGTCACCTTGGAGGTGTTAAGCTGGTAGCCCTTACCTGTGCTTCTCTATCCTTGAACTTCTCTCTTGTGAGCAGACTGGGGCTGTAGGGCCTCAGGAAGTGAGTGGGCGGTCCCTTCAGAGGGGGAGGCCCAGGTCTGGAGCAGGAATGTGACCTTTCTCTGTATCACTCATGAGTCCAGGTCTTCGCATTGAAGTTCTTTGCTCCCTGCTAGGGTCCCTCTGGGTGGGAACACAGCACTTGCACACAGGCAGATGTAATAGGGGACAGTGTAGGGTAGGGCCTGATGTCCCTGGACTGGGATGTAAACATGGCTTTGTGTTTTGGGAAAGAAACACTGCCTGTTGGAGCTGGGTGCCCGGGGTGTGCGGGAGCTGGTGCAGAGCGATGTCTACCCCATCGTCATCCACGTGGAGGTGACAGAGAAGAATATCCGCGAGGTCAGGTGAGGTGGGCTAGGGCTTGTGGGCCACCATGTTCAGAGGATGTCACTCTGTGCCTCTGGCTCTACCATCTGTCTCACTCATTGTCTCCTTTGCTTTGTCCACTCTTCTTGTCCATCCCCAGCCCGTTGCTCCGTCCTCAGTCCCCTACTCTGATGTTGCCCACTCTTTTTCTGCAGGGGCCTCCTGGGCCGGCCCGGTGGGCGGGACTCAGAGCTGCTTCGACAGTGCCGCAGCGCGGAGCAGGCACTCTGGGGGCTGCCCTGTTCCTGGGTGCAGGTGCCTGCGCATGCATGGGGCCACGCGGAGGAGCTGGCCAAGGTGGTGCGTGGCCGCATCCTGCAAGAGCAGGCCCGCCTTGTGTGGGTGGAGCGGGGCAGCAGTGGTGGCAGTGGCAGCAGCAGCGAGGCCTGAGGACCCCTCGAGGGCTGGCTTCCTGCATCCGAGGCCTGGCTTCCTGCATCCAAGGCCTGGCTTCCTCCATCTGAAGCTGGGTTTCCTCCAGTGGGAGTCTGGCTTCCTCCTCGCTGCAGAAGCTGCCAGCCAGTAGACTGTGTGTCTGGCCAGTTGGACCCTCTCATCCTGAACCTTCCTTGAAATTTGGGCTCCAGCGTGGGACCCTTCGCTCTGGACTCTCACCTGTAGTTGTCACTTGTATCAGTTGAGAGGCCATAGGAGCCCATGGGCTGAAGCTTCCACCTGCCCCTGTACTTGCTGCTGTGGGCCTTCCTGTGTGTCATCCTGTGTCCCCACATACCCACTCGTGGGTTTCACCATGTATGTCTGTATCTTCTTCAGTGCCTACCCTGGAGTCCAAGTTCTCACACCTGTGCACAAGCTTGCACACTCAGGTTCTCATCGGGCAGGCTGTGGCTTTGTCCCTACCCCTGGCGCCACAGAGTCTTCCTCAGCCCTCAGCTTGAAGGAGCTTTGAACCTGGCACCTGGTGACCGCCACCTGCCCTGTTCACATGTCTTGTGTATACTGCTGCCCGTGGCCATTATGGCTGCTTTGGCCCACTGTCACCTGTATCCCTCATGCCTTCTCATGTGTGTCTGTGGGTTTGTCCTGTGTAAATGTCATGCCCACTCTCTGACACTTGGGCACTAACAGGTGTGTGCTTCCTGAGAGCACACCCAGGATCATGTTCTCACAGCTGCCCTGCCTGAGCCCCGAGGGCCCAGCGGGCGCTGCCCTGCCCTGAATGTAAGCCTGTGATTACAAACGGGCCTTTCACTCAGAAGCTGCACAATATGGAGCATTAAACATGTTGTCATATGTGCTGGTGGCCTCTTGCCTGGGGTCCCTCTTCCTCCTCTCTGTCACCACCTCCAGCTCCGGTGGATTCAACTTTGCCGTCCTGATTGCCCGTGGGGAGGGTCAAATTTCCCTCTTGACTCATCCCAGAGCCGCCCGCCATCTGTGCCGGCATCACCTTACCTGCCCCCAAAGGACAGGTGGGGGCCCACAGGTGGGCCACCCAGCACTCAGTCCTGCCCTTCCTTTCCCAGCCTGTCCTGCGGAGCAGGGACATAGACCCGCAGGGCCCAGCTGCCGAGTGCAGGAGTCTCAACCAGCACAGTGGCCTTGGGAGCAATCCCAGCAGCCTGACTGGAGGAGATGCCACTTGAACTTGAGGGTTGGATGCTCTTCTCAAGAAGCACTGCTTGATTATGTGACTCAAAGCAGGTGGCCATCGGGGCCCCCACTGAGGCACCTGAGCCGGCCCTGAGGTGTTGAGGGTGGCCAGAAGAGCTTGCAGCTGCCCAGGGAGTGAGAAGAATGCCTATCTGTCCAGATTGGACGTGAGCTGGCAGTGACCTGGGCTTTGTGTGTTGAGGGAGCCCTTGAGTGCTAGGCAGGGCCGTGGGCTTACAGGAGCTCTCCCTGGGCTTAACTCAGTGGGCTGAGGCAGGCAGGGTCTGCTCTAGTAGGGGCTGGGAGGAGAGAGAAGCATGCATGAGCGAGGGGCAGTTGAGGCTCCAGGCACTGGGGCTGCGCTGCTGTTTGCTAGCTGCTGGATAAGACCTTGGGCTCCAGAGGGATCAGGGCTGGGGATCTGGGAACCAGGGAAGGTTCCAGGGCCGAGGGGGCCCAGATGGGGGGCTGCAGCCCCATCTTCAGTGGAAGGAGGAAGAGGAAAAGTGGGTAGATGCCACAGGGGAGGGGGCTTAGGGGGTAGGGGGTTCCTAGCCGTCTACCCTGCGATGGGTGAAGGCCTGGAGTAGCATGGGGCTGTGGACTGGACTTCTGTCAGCCACGTGGCCCCCAGCAAGGACCACACTTAACTGCCCATGAGGCCATTGTGCTTTCTGGTGGAACAGAGGTCCCCTACACTCCTTGCTGGGTAGTGAGGCTGCGGGTGGGGCGCTGGGTGTGGACTCTGTGGACTCAGATTGGGGGGCAAGGGACATGGGGGCCTTGCTTGGGACCTACAAGCTCCCCAACCACCATGACATGACTAGGTGCTCCCCTGGAGGTGCCCTGTGTCCCAGGCCACTGCAGGCCTGCTGTGGTAGAGATTCTCTGCCCTCTGTCCCCAGGCAGCCAGCTGTGTGTCACCACCCCAGGTGTGCTAGCTTGAGCTTTCTATCAGGCCAGCCCCTGCCCTAGCGTTTTCCAGCCTCTGTCCTGACCTTTGAGGCCTGCCTAAGATGCCTTCTCCAGGGAGCCTGCTGATGCTCCCAGCTCTCGGAACTTTGCCTGATCCTAGCCCCCTTCTGCCTTGTGGTAGGATGGGGTTCTATGTGGCTGTTGCTGGATAGTGGGGTTCCCTGGGGTTGGGGACAAGGTTTGCTCAGCCTGTGCCCTGTGCAGTGTACACCTGCATTCACATCTGTCCTACATGTCCTTTCTGTGAGGTGCAGAAATCGGTTGTCACCTCAGCGTCATGCTTTAGTTCCTGATTTATAAATGATGCCTGGGAGTGCTTGTGTTGGATTTGAACTAACAGTAAAGCCAGAAATTGTCTCTCAGTGATGCTGTTCTGAGAAAGCTGGCTGTGAAGGGGCCTGGCTGGGGGCTGCCCCATAGGAAGGTCACTTAAAAGGGCTGGTTTCCTCTTCCTGTCCCCTTGTCATAATGTAGGGCTGGGCTACTGCTGGCCAGTCCCGTTCACCAGCCATTGGGCACTCTCTTGGATTTAATTACCAAGCACTTCCTGAGCTCCTAGTATGTGCCAGGCACTGTTCTAGGCACAGGGCTGGGGATTCCATGATGAAAAGAGAAAAAATTTGTGTCCTGATATTCACATGAAGGAGACAGACAATAAGTAAAGTATATGAGCTGAAAACAACAAGGCAGGGGGCAAAGCAGGTCAGGCCTGAGGGGCTTAGGAAAGAGGGCAGAGGGTCTGCAGTTTAAACAAAGCAATGGGAGAAAGCCTCCTGGGGGAGGTGATATTCGTGTAAAGGTCTGAAGATGTAAGCAAGCAAGCAGGACATGCAGATGCCTAGAGAAAGTGTTCAGAATAGCAGTTGCAGAAGTCCTGAAGTCGGGGTACCTGGCCTGAGGTTGAGGGAGCAGAGGGAAGATCTTAAGGTGGGAACCAGTGCAGGGCTGGGGGAGAGTGACTTCTGCAGAACAACATGGAGGCAGGGCTGAAGAAGCCCTCCATCTGTCCTCTGTCGGCTGGGACAGCAGTAGCCACAGGGACTGCCAAGTGGCCACGGTCTGATGGGCCAGGTGAGGGCCGAGAGCAGGCTCTCGCTGTTTCTGTGCCGGAGTTGCTGGGTCTCAGTGCATGACCCCGTGCCTCTGGGCCCGACGCCCTCAGCTCTGAACTGGACAGACCATTCCCATGCTTTGTGGAGAAGGAGGAGTTGAGAGAACTTCTGCAGTCGCGCTGGAGTTGGAGGCGGCATCCGGAGGAGGGCTTCAAGTCCAAATGCAATTGGGCGGGAGAGGGCGAGCGCACGCAGGTGGAAGCCCGGGCCAAGGTGGGAGAGCTGAAGCACCAACGGCCCGCCGCGATCCCCGAGGAGGGAAGGCTGGGCCCACGGGCTCTGTGCACGCTGCCTTCCTTCGCGGCAGCGCCTCCTTTCCAGCTCCCTGGGGCCTGGTCGCCCCGCCCTCGGGCTGAGGCTGTGGCTGAGGTGGGGGCGGGGCCCTGCGCCCTAAGCCGCGCAGCCCGCGGAGCAGGTGGAGGGCCGCGCTTGCTGCTCGGGGCTCAGCTCCGTGTCCCGTGCGCCTCGCGCCCCGCGCCTGGGCCCAGGCCCCCAACTGTCCAGCCTCCCTTCCTGGACTGGCCAGGAGGCGGGGGCTGAGCTCTCTGGGGTCCTAGAGCAGATGCCCTGCCGGCTGCCCCGCGGCCCGGCTGCAGCGCTGCTGGTCCTCCTGTGCCTGGGGCTCCTTTGCGTCCGCTTCCACTCCAGCCTGTCCCCGCGGGGGGCGCAGAAGCACCCTGGGCCAAGCGCTCTGAGTGCCCCGCCTCGCGGGCTGCAGCTTCAGGACGTCTTCATCGCGGTCAAGACCACACTGGCGTTCCACCGCTCCCGTCTGGACCTGCTACTCGACACGTGGGTCTCTAGGACCAAGCAACAGGTGACAGGCGCGCGACTTTGGGCCCTACGAGTGGTCCCTGGCTGAGGGGCTCACAGAACTCTTTGCTGGGCTGGGGCTCCCAACAGCCTGGATCAAAGCTGCCCTACGCTGAGTTCATCTCTCTCTTCCATTCCTAACTGCACCTACACTGGCTGGATTTAAGGTGCTCCTCAGATCCACAATCCCTCTCCTGTGGGTGGCCTGGGTCCTTCCCTTCCCTGGCCACACCAGCAGGGTCTTTGCTTTGGACGGGAGCTCAAGGTGACTGGGCAGGGAGATTTGGAGGAGGTTGAGACCCCAGGCAGTGCACATACCCAGCTCAGCTCAGCCTGACCTTGGGGGGAATGGTGGGTTTGAAGTGGAGGCCTCTGAGAGATCTTGATCCAGCCCTGTGCTGTTCAGAACTGACCCTGGAGTTGTCCTGTTCTGGCTCTGAATGTCGAAGAACTTGCTACACACTGCTGCTGCCTGAGGTGCGCCAGGCTGGCACCTTGCCTCCTGCACTGGTTTCCTGTGGTGGCTGCTGTGTGTGTGTGTGTGTGTGTGTGTGTGTGTGTGTGTGTGTGTGCATGCCTGGGTGGTGGCCTGCATGGTGAATGGGACTGTGTGTGTGTGTGTGTGTGTGTGTGTGTGTGTCCCCTCCCTCATCCACATGGTCACAGGCATGGAACCTGAGTGTGTGAGATATACGATGACAGGAGGAAATGTGGGTGGCATGAGTGTGGGGCTCATGCCTTGAGGGGCCGTGGCTCTGCCAAGCTGAATCCCCTTCAGCACCTCACCCCTACCCCTAGTGCCCTCCTTGAGCAAAGCCAAGGATTCAGCATCTCTAGGAAGGTGGAGGGTACACACACACACACACACACACACACACACACACCATGTCCCCAGAGTGGCTGCTGGCTCTGGGGAGGAAGTGACTGAGCCCTTGGAAGAGAGCTCAAGGAGGGGGTAGGGAGGTTTGGAGGAGGTTGAGACCCCAGGCAGGGCACACCCCCAACAGGTGCAGATGCCGGGTGCTCCTAAGATGAAAAGGTGCTCCTTGCTCAGCACCCCACTCTCCCTGCGCCATGCAACACTTCACATCTTGGGGAGATCCTGGCTCTGTGGGCGGGCAGGCAGGCAGGCGGGCGGAAGCCGCCGGCGCTGGTCCTCCCCACAGACCTTCCTGTTTATGGCACTGTGTCTGTGTACCCAGCAGTGTGGCTTCACGTGGTCTGAGGCTCTTTCCTGTCGTGTCTTGCTCCCCACCATGGTGTCCTGGCCCCCCATGAGGGAACTGAGGCCGGGGAGGAAGAACACACTTGCTCAGTGGGACACAGCTGGGTCTGTCTCCTCTGCACCATCCCAGGAGCCCAGAGTCACCAGCGCTCCGATAGCTGTAGGAGTGGCTCCTTGGGCCTTCGTCTGGGGGTCTGTGCCCAGCAGCACCAGGCTGGCACAGGGAAGGCACAGCGACTCCTGGGTTCCCAGCAGAGTCAGAGATGAATTCTGTTCTGGACCCCAGAGCGAGGGCAGAGAACAGAGGTCCTGCCCCTTAAACTGAAGGAGGGAAAATGGTCAGCTGGAGGAAGAAGCTAGGGACAGAGGGCCTACTCTCGCCACCCAGCATCTCTCTCCCTGTAACTCATTTTTCTCTGTGACCTTGGCTCAGGCCTTCCTGCTTCAGCCTTTAGTTTCCCTGTCTGCACAGGACAGGAGTTTCCGGAATGGGCTGGAGCTGGTTAACTGTAGTTTGGGGCTCCAGCTGGTTCAAGGTGGTGGGGTGGCAGGTGGGCCTTTACGGCAGCAGGCTGGGCTCGTGTGCTGCCTTTGTCCCTGTGCAGCTGACAGGGAGGCGTGTCTTGTGTGTTTTGTGCTGGAGAGGAGCCTTTCTCTTTCTCCTGTCGGCTCATGGTGGGCAGGGGCAGGGGACCAGGCAGTGGTGGGGGGCGGGTTGGGGCAGTGGCAGGGCAGGGGGCATCTGCCTTCTCTGCAGCAGATGGTCCCCTGCCCAGCAGGCTCCTGGTGCCTTTGTTTTCCAGCCTGTGAAGTTTTAACCATTGTCAGAATCCCCGCCTTAAAAAATCAAATGCAGCCCTTGGCTTAGGAAGCTCTGCCCATCACTCTGCGCCAGCCCTGGAGCTCCCAAGGGCAGGGCTGGAGCAGCCTGACTTCTGCCACAGGAGAGTGCTGAAAGTGGACTTGGGGAGGGGCAGAAGGCCAGGCTGGCAGTGGGCACAGGGCTGGCTGTGGAGGGCAGTGAGCAGTGACTAACCTGAGATATTTGTGGGTGGGCAAACTGCAGCTGAGGGCATGAGAGGAAGCTCAGTGACTCGAAGGCTCTGGGTTCCAAAAGTGGGAAGGCAGAGCTGGCAGGAGAAAGTGCAGCCCAACCTCATTTTCAATTTTCTTTTTTTATTTTTTTTCCACTGGGCATAGAACCCAGGGCTTCAACTATGCTAGGCCTGTGCTCTACCACTAAGCTGCACCTTTGGCCCTTTTACTTTATTTTTGTATTTTTATGTATTTAGTTCAGGATCCACAGGATCTCACTACACAGATCAGACTCCTAGTGATCCTCCTGTTTTCAATGTCCCAAGCACTGGGATTACAGGTGGCCGCCACCACACCCAGTCTCAGTTGCCATCTCAGCATGCTGCGGGGGTAAGGCAGGCACTGCATGTCAGGAATTGAACCCCAGCCACTGCGCTCTGCCTAAGCAGGCGCTTTAGTCTGCTGAGCTATCTGGCTGGCCCCTTTTAAAAACTTAAAAATAATGTTTTATGTCACTTTTTTTTGAAACAGGGTCCTTTTGTGTCTTTCAGTCTGGCCTTGAACTCACTGTGTAGCCCAGGCTCCTCTGAGTCAGCCTGACAATTGAGTTACATGTCCAGCAAGCCTTTCTTTGGAGGAACAGCTCAGTGTTGAGGTGCAGCTCTCCCAGGAGAAGTCTCAGCTGTTGGGGATTTGAAAGCCCTGGGCTCAGACAATGGCCAGGGCTGGAGGTACGGATGGGAGTGCCTGCAGCCTCCTGGCGGTGGCACCACCAGGTGGAATAGTGAGGACCTGGACCTGGGCCTGGGTCACCCACGTTCTCCCCATGGTAATCAGGGACTCAGCCTGGCTAAGTCTCAAGGGAGGCAGGAGGCAGACCCCAGGATGAAGGGCTTAGAGGTAGCTGCTGCTAGGACAGGGAGACAGATCAGACCAGGCCAGTGGTCTCCAAGATGCAGTCCTACTGTGAGAGGGACCAAGAGATCCATTTCCCCCACCAAGAAGCTGGGGTTACCCTAGAAGATGAGATAGGAGGGCCTAGGGAGGGGCCCCTAGCGAGGCTGGAGGGTGTCAGGAAAGGCTACCTGGGGGAGATGACACCTGAACTGGCAGCTGGAGAGAGGGAAGAAAGCACAGCATGTGCAAAGGCTCAGAGGGCGTGTGTGTGTGTGTGTGTGTGTGTGTGTGTGTGTGTGTGTGTGTAAGATGAAATCTGGTCAAAGAGCAGCCTCAGGGGCAAGACAGCAAATGCTGAGATAAAACTGAATCAGGTGGCAAGGTTTGGGGGTCAGGTGCACCCCACTGGTCACATTTTGCAGACTGGCCTCTGTCCCAGAGGAAGTAGGGAGCCGTGGAAGGCGTTAGCCCAGGGTGGTGGGTAAGGGCGTGACCTGGTTCTGCTCCTGGGAGGGAAGCAGATGGAAGGAAGTGGAGCAGTCTTGTAGCAATCCGCTGTGGGACTCAGTGGCAGGCCTGTGGTCCTGGGCCTTGGGTCACAGGTCTGCCTGGCTCCCTCCTGCCTCTTCCTGTGCCCAAGCCTGGCTTCTGTCCTTCAGCTCCTCAGTTTCTCCTGGAATAAAAGAAGCAGAGCCTGGCTTCACAGTCCTTACTTGCTCCTTCTTTTGTACACAGTCTCATTCTACTCTCATGGCTGTTATGGCCCTCTGTGTGACAGATGGATAAACCAAGGCAGGGGGTGATTGGAAGGAACAGTTCCCAGAAGAGAGCTGTGGGTGGGCAAGGAGGACCATTTGCATCCAGAGGCCCTGAGCCTGGAGAGTAAGGAGCAGGAGATGGGGGACGTAGGGCCTTCAGTATTGCTTCTTGGGACCCTTTTTTCCTTTTTCCTTACTTAGGAGTTTGGAATTGTGCCAGTGCTGGGCAGGACTACACAAGGGTTGGGGAGGCCTAGAAGGCGCCCAGGAGAACTGCCCAGGAGCTGAGAGGCTCCGCAGGGGCTGGGCCGGGCCTGGGATGGATGTGACAGTCCCTGCTGGCCAGGTGTCCTTGCCCTTGGGCTGCTTCTGGAGGGGTTCTTTCTGCCTCTCATCTATCTGCATTTGGTTTATTTGTATCAGCGTAGCTTCAGCCCACCTGGAGATGGCAAACATACACCCAAGGTTTATGGGTTGGGATCCCAGCCTTGGCTCTTGGCTTAGCCTGTTTTGTCCCTTGGGAAGGGGACCGATCCTGCTATCTGCCTCCTAAGATCTAGAGTGGATTGTTGGGGACCAGGCATGGTTCACAGTTCTGGTGGGTGCCTGTCCAGTGGCGGGGGAGAGCCAGATCAGGCCGTGGTGCACGATTTCTGCACTTGTGAAAGGGTTTTGGGCTGTGAAAGTGTCACCATCTCCTAAATGATTTGTGGGCCTCAGAGTGTGGGCATGGGGTCCTTCCATAGTTTGGGTCTTGACAGAGAGTTTAGCATTGTGTTGTTGTGGCCTCAGTGACCACCTGTGACTGTGACGTGTGGGTGACAGGAGAGAGCACAATGCTGCCAAGGGTGTGTAAAGGGAATGAGTGTGTGTGAGGCCACAGAAGCTGTGTGTGTGTGTGTGTGCGTTGCTCTGAAAGGACCAAATGACCATGGGCATGTGTCTGTCCCTGCAGGTGGACAGCAGGTTGTTATGCATGGACCCACCTGGGCAGGTGGGCTGTGGATGGCCCAGGGCAGTGGTAGCCACACCTGACCCTGACCTCCCTTCTCTTTTCCAGACGTTCATCTTCACTGACAGCGGGGACAGAGGCCTCCGGGAGAGACTGGGTAACTCCACCCACTTTGGGTTCCCAGGGTTTCAGGCTTGTCTGAGGTCAGGAAAAGCAGGTGGCTGTGCTGTGGTGTGGGGCTTCCCAGGAATCAGAGTGCACCTCTGACACTAAGGATCCCCTTTTGCTAAGGGAGGTGGCAGCTGGGAGGGGAAGGGGTGCTTGATAAGGCCCTGGACACCTGGGTTTCAGTGCAAAGCAGGAGGCAGCCCTTCCGGGCTATTTGAGGGTGGGCAGTGAGGAGGAGCTGGGCGGGGCCCCATGATGGTCCACTTCTGCAGGGTCCCACCTTGTGGTCACCAACTGCTCCGCAGAGCACAGCCACCTGGCCCTGTCCTGCAAGATGGCCGCAGAGTTTGACGCCTTTCTGGCCAGCAGGCTCCGGTGAGTGATCTTGGGTCTCTTGGGACTCAGTTGAGTCCTTCTCCACTAACTGGGCACGCCTTGCTCACAAAGCTTGCGCAGCGGGGTGCCCAGCACAAAACAGGGGTCTGAAAGGATACCTGGCCACCCCCAGATGTCTGTTGATTGACTGTAGGGGACGCACCTCAAGTTCACTGTCCCGCTTCAATCCCCATAGGTGGTTCTGCCACGTGGACGACGACAACTACGTGAACCCCAGGGCGCTGCTACAGCTGCTAAACGCCTTGCCGCAGGGCCACGACGTCTATGTCGGCAAACCCAGCCTAAACCGGCCCATCCATACTTCTGAGCCGCAGGCGCACAATCGCACGGTCTGTCTCATCTTCCCTTCCTCCTTCGCCATTGGCCGCAGGCCCTGGGGACGGGGCTAGGGGCGGGGCGATGGAGGGGGCGTCTTCCCTTCCTCCTTCGTCATTGGCCGCAGGCCCTGGGGACGGGGCTAGGGGCGGGGCGATGGAGGGGCGGGATGGAAAGGAGCGCTGGGCTCAGGGTTGCAGAGTCGGTGCTGTCCCTGGGGTTAGGCCGGTGGCTGTGTGTGTGTGTGTGTGTGTGTGTGTGTGTGTGTGTGTCCTGTATTTAGGACAGGGTCTACAGGGTTTCACTATGTAGATCCGACTCGTAGTGATTCTCCTGTTTCCAGCCTCCCAAGCGCTGGGATTACAGGTGAGCACCACCACGTTCAGTCTCAGTCGCCGTCTCAGCGCGCCCCCAGGGGTGGGACCGGCACAACACACCGTGGATCCAACCCCAGCCTGCTATGCTAAGCCCTAAGCAGGCGCTTTTTACCCCGCTGAGCTATCAGGCCAGCCCGGTATTGTCTGTGAAATGGGAAGACTGCAGTAATGTAGGCGAGTCCTCGGTCGCCAGAGAGCAGTGGTTTGGGGGCGTCACATGAGTGACCAGACACTTCCTGACTGCGAAATGGGGCTCCTGGCCACCTGGTATTTGTGCAGATTGTTAAAATCCTGGAATAGAGGGCTGGGGAGATAGATCAGTAGAATAAGCGCTTGCCTGGCAAGTGCAAGGGCCTGAGTTCAATCCTCGGTTCCGCCAAAAAAAAAAAAAAAAAAAAATCCTGGAACAGGGATCGGGCAGGTAAATTGCTGCTCCTCTGTGCCCCGAAACACTTCCCTCCCTTGGGCACTCCCTCTCAGGTCTTCCTCAAATCATCAACTGAGAGTGGACCCCTCGATCAAGAGAGGGCCCTAGAACCACCTTGACCTTCATTCTTGACGGACACTGATGAGAGCTGCCAGATTTAGAAAACCAACAAAAAGCCAGAAACCCAGTTACATCTGACTTTTAGATAAACAGGGAAGGATTTCTTTGTGTACACTTGTCCCCAAAGTGGCACAGTTTTCCCCTGTCCCCCAGGAGGTAGGTGGCCCCAGTTGCTCAGGCTCCCTAGGCCCCAGGGAGAAGGCACCAGGAGGTCCCCCATCTGCAGGCAGGGCCTGGAGCAGGAGTTGGGCACGCCCTGGCCACTTGCCCTCCCCAGTCACCATCTGCTTCACTGGGGAAACTGAAGTCTTAATTATCAGCAGCTCAGCAGCTTCTGAGCTCTAATTAAATCCTCCTGGGCCCCAGGGTGGCGTGTGGTGGTAGTGGTAGTGGCGTGTGAGCCATTCCTGGGGAGCTTGGGGGCCTTGGGACGCACATGCTTCTGTCCTGGCCTCTCAACCTGGCTGAGCAGTTGCCTTTGGGGCTCACCCCACTTAGAGCCTGACCTCGTTTTCCCTCGCCAGCCCCACTGTCTCCTGATTTGGTGACCTCAACCAGTCACTTCACCCCTCTGTGCCTCAATTTCCTTGTGTATGACAACAGCTCTTACTCACAGGGCATTTGTAAGCACAGAATAATTCACTATATATATATTTTTTTGCAGTACCAGGGATCAAACTCAGGACATTGCACTTACCAGGCAGGTGCTTATGCCACTGAGCTATATCCCCAGCCCCAAGCACAGAATAATTGCATGAGCCATTTCTGAAAGTCCCTGGGACAGGATGGCACATGTAATGGACACTTGTAGGAGTCAGCGCTCAGTGAAGACAGCCCAGCCTTCCTTTCTGATCAGTGTTTTTCCTGGGCAGGTCCAGTACCTGTCGGGACACACCCAACGCTTGTCCCTGCTCAGATACTGTCCCTGACAATGTGTATGATGCTCTTATTCATTTATATCCCAAAGTGGGGTTCTAGAACTCTGAACCCTGGAGTGTGGCAGAAACCCAAAGTGTCCAGGCTTGTTCAGATCCTGGAGTCCCCCAGGATGGAATAGCAAAATGAACAAGAACTCTGGCGTGGGGTTGGTCCCTGGTCTTGAACCTCAGACCAGTGACTTCACTTCTCTGAGCCTGGGTCCCCTCTCCTGGGTTGTGGCCCTTAGCATTGGCCAAGGCACTTAACATTTCTACTTCTTGGGCTGGGGAGATAGCTCAGAGGCATAAACACCTACCTGGCAAGCACAGGCCCTGAGTTGGAACCCCAGACCCGCATGCTGTGTCAACCCTGGGACCCTGGGTGCCCATGCTGGCCCCAGCACTTGGGGGGTTGAGACAAGAGGATCACTATGAGTTCAAGATCATCCTGGGAGCTACAAAAAGTGAGCACAAGGCCAACCTGAACCACATAATGGAAACCCTGTCTCAAAACAAACCAACAAACGAACAAACAAAAAACCCAAGCAACCCCCCCCCCAAAAAAAATATTGCAAATTCTGTGCTCATTACCACACTGATCTGAAAGAGGAAGCCACATACACTCATTAATTTTTTTAAAAAGACGAGCATTTTTGGGGAGCCTGTGTGTCAGGTCCTCGGGGGCCATCATGGAGCATGGACCTTTCTCACAAAGGTCAGCTCAGCTTTTCCAGAAGGAGACTAAGCACAATCTTCAGCAGGAGGTACCTCTAGGCCAGGAGAGGCGTTGGATTTCCGGAAGCGGAACCGATGTGCTCCTGGTGACGGCTTCCCAGAGAGGGGCGTGGCTTTTCAAGGTTACACAGTTTGCAGGGAGGAGGCTCAGGCTTTCCTGCCTCCGGCCCGGGGCTCTCCTCACTGCCACCTTGTGCTGTGCACTTGGGAAAGGTCACCTCAGGGAACTTGGTAGAACCACAGATGGTACGGCTGAAGGGTAAAGCATTTCCATGGTGATTTTTGGAGTTCTCATAAAGGAGAAGGAAGAGGTGATGGTGGTCAGGGACAGAAAGTGGTTTAAACCTAAGGAGGTGCTATTGACTCTTGTGGGTTGCAAGGGCCCCTAGACAGCCTCCCATACTCCAGGAAGGGCCTCAGCCTTCTTTTTTTCTTCTAAAAAGCCATTTTTGGCCCCAAGAGTTGGGAGTGGCAGTGGTTTGGTGTTGACAACAGCCCCTCCCACAAGTGACCCTGTAGAGAGTATCTTTTTCTCATAGTTGAGTGCTCTCATAGTTTAGGACTCTGATTGGCTTGTCTAAGTCACGTGCCTGCTGCTGAGCCAATCGCTAGGTCAAGAGGTGTAGCCCTGTGCTCCATCTTTCAAGAGGATTCCGGCCCACATCCCTGCGGCCCAGGGAAGCAGGTGCTTGTTTGACAGCATCCCATCTCCAACCGCGCGAAGTTTTTCAGGGAAAGGGGCAAGATGCAGCGGGTGGATAAGATAGTACATGTCCCACCGAACCAGAATGCAGCTGGATTTGGATTAGGGATCTCCTTACTCATAATTAGCTGTGTGACTTCGGGCTGGTTTCCTTATCTATAAAATGGCATAACAATGCCAGGCTGTAACAAGTCTCCAGTGACTGTGAAATAAAGATCGTCTGAGCCATGCTTGGGAGTGAAGGTGCCTGGCCAGCCCCACCTCCAGACCCACTCCACACCTTGGACTTCTCTTTCCAGAGGCTGGTACAGTTCTGGTTTGCCACAGGGGGCGCTGGCTTCTGCATCAACCGCAAACTGGCTTTGAAGATGGCTCCTTGGGCCAGGTAATCTTTGACCCCCTGGGGTGGCAGCCCGTGTGCGTGAGGGTTTCTGCCAAGGCGATGCCACAGGGAAGGGGACGGCCAAGTAGGGGCTCTCCGAGGAGGGAGAAAGGCTTTTTGGTTGGAAACAAGTTTCCTGGAAAAGGTGGCTTTTGAGCTGGGATAGCACTAGAGAACCTCGGGAACGGCACCTGGGATAGTGGAAACTCGGTGGGGAGGTGGAGGGACCCTGGTATTTTGGATGGATAGAAGCCTGGCCTTTTGGTCTTCCCAGGCAGGCTGTTGTGCACAGACAGCATCAGGGGCCACGGCGCTGCACTGAGGGCTATTCTGAGCTGGTCTGGGCCTCACCGAGAGCATAGCAACTGTGTGGGAGAGAGGGTGGGGCTGCCTTGTTTCTACAACTAAGGAAGCTAAGCCATGGGAGATTGAGCAAGTCTGAGGTCACCAGGTTCCAGGCTTCCCAGCTGCTCGGTTTAGCTCCAAGGCCCTGTTATTTGCCACTGTAGCAGCCTGTGATGCTTTGCCCCTGCTGACAAGGGTCCCGCGGGGTCATCCCCATGCCTAGTGCTTCATCCTGGCTTCTGCTTACCTCTATGGTACTTCCTGCATATTAGGCAAGTTATTTATTTATTTATTTATTTATTTATTTATTTATTTATTTTTTGCGGAACCGGGGATTGAACTCAGGCCCTTGCACTTGCCAGGCAAGTGCTTATTCCACTGAGCCATCTCCCCAGCCCCAGCTGCATGTTAGGGAAGAGCTCTGCCCCCATTCTGAGGATGCAGCGTTAATGGGAGTGTACAGCCAGTCGTGTGTCCCATGCGACACAGCTCTCCCCCTTCCTAAGGCACACAGTGGACTCCAGCTGCTCCTGTGAGATTCCATTAAAAAGCTGCCACCTCCTAAAAGCTGCCACCTCCTCTGGGGAAGCCTGCTCACCCTCCCTATACCCCCCCCACCGCATACTTTCTTCTGACTTAATGCCAGCCCTGCCTCAAGTGACATGCTTTCTGTCTGTGTGTCCCCGAGTAGGGGCTGCTTGGAGACTGGTGAGCACTTGTTTCTCATCTGCATTTCAGCACCCTATCTTGGGGCAGTAGATCCTTCAGCTTGACAAAGAATACATGAGCAAGCCAAGGTTTGAAAGAAGCAAGCAGAGAAGGTCTCTACATACCCCGCCTCCAGCACCTTCTCCCAGCATCCCTGAGAAGCCAGGCCCCTCCTCATCCCCATTTCCTAGAACAGGAATCCGAGTCTCTCAGAGGTTTCTGTCTTAAATGAGTCACGCAGTGTGCAGAGTCAGCTCACTGCTTGGGCTGAGGGGGGGGGGGGAGGCTGGCGGGGGGGCTGTGCCTGCAGCTGCAGTCCACTCTCTCCCTTAGTGGCTCCCATTTTGTGGACACATCCGCTCTCATCCGGCTGCCCGATGACTGCACTGTGGGCTACATCGTTGAGTGCAAGTTGGGGGGACGCCTGCTGCCCAGCCCCCTCTTCCACTCCCACCTGGAGACCCTGCAGCTGCTGGGGGCTGCCCAGCTCCTGGAGCAGGTGAGCCAGCCCCGGGGCAGGCAACAGTGGGAGAGGAAGTGTCCCAACAAAGGAAGGGGGGGAATTTGAAATCAGCCTGAAACCCAAGATGATGGGGTATGGTCATCCTTTATGGGTGGGGAAACTGAAGTCCAGGGTGACAAAGGACCTGCATAATAGCACACTCTGTGACACAGCTCTCCTCATCTCTAACCTGCAAAGGTTGGCTTCTGTGCTGTTGGGACTCCCTGATCTGGTCTCTAAGAGCCAGCTGGGAGGACCTGCAGGGAGGTGAAGCTGTCTCTGGGCCCCACCACCCTGCTTCCTGATCCTGCCCCATCTGGGTCTCTCTCTGCTCCCCTGTCCCTCCCTCTCCACACATCCCTTCTGCCCAGTCAGGTTGACCCTTTGTGACATCCCACTGGGAGCCCCTTCCTGCATCATAACTTTCCTGGCAGTTGTTTCCTGCTTTTCCTCCTAACCCAAGGCACCAGGGAAGGAGCAGGTTCCCTTTCTGCCAGGCAGGGTGCCTGGCGTGACTGCTGCCCCTGAAGACCTGGCTTCCAGCCCCACATGTGGTCCCGGATGGGACGGCCAGAATACGGCCAGACCCTTTGGGGTGCCAGACACAGAAACTCAGCATGAGCCCTGAAGCAGATGCGTGCGCTAAGCCGAGAAGCTGAGGGCGTGGCTTGCGAGGTCTGGCTGGGTCTGGGCACTTAGGACCATTACCATTTCCTCTGCCATCTGCTGTCCCATGTGCTGGCCTGTCCTCAGATAGGCTCACTCTCTTTCTGGCAGGATGGCAGCCCCAGGTGTACCCCCATATCCCATGGAGAGAGCTCTGTCTTTCCTCAGATCCCAGCCCCAGAGGAAGTAGTGTTGGTTGACCAGGTCTGGAACGGGAGTCTAGAGGTGATCAATCCCATTAAGACTGCCAGAAAAGGGTGGTAGATTTGTACATAATGTACATAATCCTCCCTATACTTTATATCATCTCTCAATTCCTTTTTATTTATTTATTTTTTGAGACAGGGTCTTGCTATGTAGTTCAGGCTGGCCTTGGGCTCACTAATATAGCCCAAGCTGGCCTTGAACTCCCAGTGGTCCTTCTGCCTCAGCCTCCCAAGTACTGGGATTATGGGTGTTCTCCACTCTGCCTGGCTTTTAAGGACTTATAATGCCTAATGTACTTTTTTTTGGTACCAGGGATAGATTTTTCTTTTCTTTTTCTTTTTCTTTCTTTCTTTCTTTCTTTCTTTCTTTCTTTCTTTCTTTTTTTTTTTTTTTTTTTTTTTTGCTGTACTGGGGATTGAACTCAGGATCCTGCACTTGCCATAGAATGTAAATGTTATTTAAGTTGTTGTTCTGCTGTATTGTTTAGGGGAAGAAGAAGAAAAATCTGTACTTATTCAATACAGGTGTGATTTTATTTATTTCTTTATTTTTTTTGGCAATACTGGGGATTAAACTCAGGATCTTGCATTTGCCAGGCAAATGCTTATTCTACTGAGCTATCTCCCCAGCCCCAGATGTGATTTTTTGACTATTGGTATCTTTTTGTGCCTCTGGGCCTCATGCACTCTGGGCAAGTGGTTGATCTGCCACTGAGCTACATCCCCAACCCTTTTTACAAGTCTTATTTTGAGACAGGGTCTTGCTGTGTTGTCCAGGGTGGCCTCAAATGTGTGATCTTCCTGCCTCTGCCTCCCCAGTACCTGGGGCTAAAGGCAGGGACCACTGAGCCCCACTTTTTAGAATATTCCTGATGCACAAGCGGCTGAGTCTGTGGATGTGGAGCTCACGTGCGGAGGGCTGACCGAGGATGGGGGCACCAAGGCCTGGAGAGCTGAACTAACTGTGGTGCACAGTTAGCATGGGGCAGAGGGGATTGGAGCCCTGGCTGGGAGGCTCCTGGGCCCCCAGTCTGTGACCACAGCACCTCTGCCTCTTTGCTGAAATCATCCCACACCCCCTGCATGGTGCCATGGAGGCTTTGGGTGGCCGGGACCTGTGGGGGCCTATGGTGAGAGTCCAAACTGTGCTGAGTCCAGGGAGAAGCTTGTTGGAAATGGGCCTTCCCTGTGGTGAGGCTTGAGCTGTGAGTCCCTAGGCTTGGGGGTCATCAGCCCCAGAGTTAGCTGAGCTCTTGAGATGCCAATGGTTGGGGCACAAGTCAGCCCTGCAGGATGGGAATTCCCTTCCAGGGAGGTCTCCGAAGCCTGTGGCAGCTGGCATGGAGCCCAGAGGGAGAGCACTTGCCCAGCACTAACCAACAAGTAACAAAAATATATCCACTCCCACATAGTGCCAGATGCTGCCCCCATGGGGTCCCCAGTGAGTCTCCACTGCTCCTTTGCTTTTTTCTGCCCAGGTCACTCTCAGCTATGGTGTATTTGAGGGAAAACTCAACGTCATTAAGCTGCCAGGTCCCTTCTCGCCTGAAGAGGACCCCTCCAGGTGGGTCTGGGGGCTGAACCTGAGATAGGGAAGGGGTGGGGTGGAGGCTGAGCCCTGGCACTGGAGAAGCAGGTGCTGGGAGGGAGAGGAGCAGGGAGCAGTGGTGACTGCACAGAGCAGGGCGTAGGTGTCAGTGTGGCTGGCTTGCTGTGTGACCTTAGGCAAGCATCCTGACCTCTCTGATTTTCAGTCTCCCCATCTGTAACATCCAAAGGCTGGGCCTCGTGGTGGTATAGGGCTCTCCTGGCTCTGAGCCTCTGGGCTCATCAGGTACCCTGGAAGACTGAGTGGTCTGCGATGAGCAAAGAGGTCCTCCTAGTGATGGTGGGACTTCATACCCATAGGGGCAGGGAGTTATTTAATGATTTTGGGGGCTCTTCCCCCCCCCTCCGCTTTGGGGGCTCTTTGCTTCTTCTTTTTTTTTTTTTTTTGGCTCTTTGCTTCTTTGACACCCTTCTTGTCATTCTGCCCAGCACATATGTAGGGAGGTGGGGTGGCGAACTGGGGAGCAAGCAGGGGTGCAGGGAGACTGCAAGCGAGGGGGTGGTGGGTGGGCGAGCCCTGGGCCCACTGGACACAGCTGTGTGGGGACGAAGGGGAAGCATGGGGTGGCTGAGTGGGAGAGGGTAAGAGCCCTGACACCAGCTGGAGAGGGGGGCTGCGGGGACCTCTCAGCCGGGGTGACATGGAGGACCTGTAGCACTGTCTACAGGACAGGGACAGCACATACGCAGCCTGCTGGGGAGATAGGTGCTGGAGTGGAAGCCAAGCTACCCGAGTGTGTACCAGGGCAGTGATGTCCCTGGGGCTGGGCGGTGTCGAGGGACCCTCAAGGGCCCCGGGCTCAATCTGGATTTTAGATGCATGGGAAGTCTGTGACCGAGGGGGCCCGGGCCCTGAGGTTCACAGGGCTGCCTGTGGTGTGGCAGAGCGCGCCCCTCTCGTGAGGCTGTTGATCAGGTTGCTCGTTCTGAGGACATGCAGCCGGCTCCTTACAGAGCACCAGTCCAGAATTGCAAGACGAAAGCATCACCTCCCCCTGGCACAAGCTGCCTGACAGGTGTGAAAACCCAGTGCAAGCTAGAACTACGGGCCAAGAGGCTTAAGAGTCAGTGTTGAGCTGGGCATGCTGGTGCACACCTGTCATCCCCACACTCAGGGTGGGGAGCTGCTGACAGGAGGGCAGTCAAGAGTACAGAGCCAGCCTGGGCCACGTAGTGAGTTGAAAGCAATGAAACAAAATTATGCTACATTTTGTCTAAGCCTGAAGGACTCATAAGTTTCCATCTCCTGGGGCTGGATCCGTTGGAGACCCACTTCCGTGGGGTCAGGTGGCCTGGACTCAGCCGAGGTCTCCTGATGCCACCTTTGGCTTTTGAAGTTTCTCAAAAACCTGTGATTCTCAACTAGGGGTGTTTTTTGCCTACTGAGGACATTTAGTGACTCTGGGGACATTTTTAACATTAGGCACGGACTGCATGTCCCTCTCTCACTAAGATAAGCTCTGAGTGTTACTAGTGCCCATTCCAGATCACTTCTGTGACAAGTGATGTGTGTGGGACACCTCTCTGGAGTCCGTGGGGTAAGGACAGGGATGAGTGACTGTCTTGTCTATGTTCGGTCTCTCTGCAGGTTTCGCTCCCTACACTGCCTGCTCTACCCAGACACACCCTGGTGCCCTCAGCTGGCAGCCCGATGAACAGGGGGCAGGGGTGGGCAGCACTTCTGGCTGTGCCATTGCCTTCTCAGGCCAGCGGCAGGCTTCAGTGGGTGCCAGGCTGCCGGGAAGCCCAGGATCTAGATGGCAGCTGGCACCAAGCACTGTAGACCCTGGAGATGGGTGAGGGCCAGAGAGTCTCAGGGCTGGATCCTGTCACCTGCAGTGGCCAGCTGGATGTGGATGGGACACTTGGGCTGGCTGGTGTCTCCGTGTCCTCTCCTAGGGCTCAAGGAGTGGCCACAACTCCAGCTCCTTGACTGGATCCCCTGTCCCTGAGGGTCCCTGGGGGGGAATCATGGCACAGTCCAGGGCTGTGACCGATGAAGTCCCTTTCTAGGGGATCTATGCTGCCCAGCTCTTGCTAGAATACTCAGGCTTTGGACCCTCAGGATGCTCTGAGCCAGGTGATGATCAGAATAGGTCCCCACCAGTCATGGTGATCCTTTTGCTTCCTTCTCTGCCCTGCTGAAGGAGTGACCATGTGACCTGGCCCTGGCCAGTAGGAACTCAGCAAAGCCAATATGCTGGGTGAGGTCTGGTGGCTCCTTAGCCTGCCTTCCTGTTGTTAATGTGGGCGTGATGCCTGGATCTGGGGAAGCCACTGTGAGCCCTCCAGGGAAAGGCCAAGACAATCATGCACAACTGTCCCTCCAGTATCTGGCTCTGTATGAAATTAAACCTTTATTTAAGTCTCTTGGAGTCTCGTCCGTTGTGTAGCCAAAGGGTTCCTGACTGGGGCAGGACTTTTGGTCTGTCTGCCACAGTGGCAATGGTAGTCACTTCCGGTGGTGTGATAAAATACTTAGCACACAGCCCAGCATGGGGAGAGGAAGGCTTAGTGTGTGCCTGTGTCACAATTGTGAGGATATGTGTGTGTGAACACGTGTGTGATGTGTACCCTTGGCACACCTGTGTGTAAGGCTGCACGTGTGGTGTGTGTACTGGTGCCATGTCACCTCCTGTGTGTGGTAATGTTGCAAGCTGTGCCCCCTGCCCTGTGTCCCCAGGCTGTGGGTGACAGAAAGGGGACACAGGCAGTTTGATAGCTGAGATGCTCAGCAAATTAAAGCACCTCTAGAATCTGGCTCCCAAAAAGATTGGATGAGTGGATGAAAGTGATTGTGGTGACTTTGAGGCATAGTGACACCTGGGATGGGGGTTGGGCACGGGAGGTCTCTCTCCTGGGGTCACCATGGGGCTTGGGTGGGAGAGGAGAGAGAGATCCTGGAGCTAGGGTCCCAAGGCTCCTTTGGCGCATGCCCTGACCCTTGTGGACCACAGCCCTTGTCTTCCAAGGAAGAGGCTGAGCCCAGAGAGGGTCGGCTTTATGCTCAGGGTCACCCAGCAAGTCAGTACAGTCTGGCGGCTTGGGCTCCCCCGGAGCCTGCTGTCTCCCTGGCCAGCATGATGTGAGCAGGGGGACCCCTGCTGCCTGGAGGGGACGGAGTGGCACGCCTGACCTCCTCTCCCTGCGGGTAAGGCTGCTGGCCTGCTGGCCATTTTTAGAAGTAACAGCAGCAGCAGATTTCAGGTTTTTCCTAGATCCTGGGGGTCAGGCGGAGGGAGCAGGGCTCAGGCCATCTGCTACCTTTGTTGTCCCAGAATACCCGGGATGTGGTGGGGGTGGGGAGGAGCACTGTTAGCAGGAACAGCCGTGGGATGGGAGCATGGAGGGAGGGAGTCTGGTTAGCCCTCAGTATGCCTGAGGCGAGTCTCTGGGCTGCCTGTGCCCTGGGCTGAGGGAACCATCTAGGCCCTAGAGGTAGGGCTGGAAGTGAGGACCACGCTGGACCACCCTGCCTTGGCCTCACTGGGCCCCTCGGTCTCACTTTTATTTAGTTCACGACTCCTGAGCCCTGCCTGCCCCCACCCCCAGATGTGCATAGATGGGGTAAGCAGAGGCATGTGGGTGCACAACAGAAGGTGCCTCCTGATATGGCACACGGAGTGGGATCGTTGCCAGGGGCCGGTGTTAGAGGAGCCAGAGGACATCGCAGCCCAGGGAGCGAGGCAACACTTTCATGAGCTTCTTGATTTGTTGAGCCTTGTTATAGCTGCTTTCTTCATTGGTGGGACAAAATACCTGATACCTGCAGCTTGAAGGGGGGAGTTTATTTTTGCTCACCACGAAGTCCATAGTCAGCTGGTTGCAAGGCAAGAGGTGTGTGTGGCAGAGAGGCCCGGGAAGCCCGGAGCAGCGAGCTAGGGCAGGAGCTGGGGGCGGGGCAGGCCCTTCCTGGCCACCCCCCCAGCGACTGCCTGTCTGACCAGGCCCTGCCCCCTAGAAGCAAGTCCGCTGTCAGCCCGCTTGACCCAGTCTCCTTCCAAAAGCCCTCCCTGTGACTGCATGAGGCTTTAGGGGGACATCGAGATATAAATCGTATCAGTCCTACGACGTCTGTTAGCACGCGCTGTTCCCTACTTTCTGCACACTAATGTTTAGGCCCAGAGGGCGGAGCTGACAGCGGAGTGATTACTGTGGCAAGGGGAACGTGTGGGTGGCACTGGGTCTGTGAGCCTGGATTCCAGCCGCCGACGGCCAAGACCCGCGCCGCAGTGGGAGGCTTTGCCCTGCTGGGGATGCATATGTCACTAGTCTTAGGGCAGTTGTCGAGATCACCTAGGGCAAACTGTGTGTGGCACTTGCCCAAGCATTTGACCTACATTGTGTGACTTTAGCTTCACTCTTTCAAAGTAAATACTATACATTTTCCCATTTTACAGATTAGGAAGCTGAGGCACAACAGGAGAGAAAGCCCTTGTCCAGGTCCCAGGTCTTCTCAGGACTGGAGCCAGGGTTTGAGGCAGCCTGGCTTGGTGGTGGCTACTTTGGTGACTTTGGAGGTTGGAGAGCCTCACCAGGCCTGGGCGCCTCCCTCCTTTGCACCCCGGCCTCATCTGTGAAATGGGCTGGTGGTTCCTCTGGAGCAGGCTGTGAAACCCCTCCCTGCTCCTCTCAGTGCATCTTCTCAGCTGTGGAGGGGAGGCGGCAGGGGGCAGCGGCTCTACCCGAGCCTGGTCCTCATCCCAGCACTCCCCTTGCTGCTCCTGCAGGCCTGTCCCTTGCTCTCCGGCCCAGGACACTACAGCCTCCCCGCTTCCTCTGGCGGCTGCTGGCTTCCCTGGCTGCACGGCTCTTCCTTCCCCTGGAATGCACCCACCCCCTCCTGGCCAGCTGGCTCTGGCCAGGCTGCACCACCCTCCCTCAAAGAGTCCTCCTGGGCCACCAGCACACAGGTGGTCACTGCCTGTCCCCCCCTGCAGTGACCCTCACACATGTGGCTCTCCTCAGTGCGCTGGCTCACCTGGTGGCTGGTGGCTGTGTATCTCTACCCAACTGTTGGCTGCATTGTTGGTGTTCTGGGGTTCTATGATAGGAGCTAGTGCCCCCGTGGGCCGGATGATGGGAGGGGCGCTTGTGATGGAGGGGTCAGCCTGGCAACCCCAGAATCCATGCTCTTTCTTAGTGGTATCCCGAAAGGGAAACAGCCTAAGTGCTTCTGATAGAATCCGAGAACCCAGCACCACCCAGGAATTCTGTTTGCTATAGCTCAGTACGTCCCTGACTTTTCCTTGTTTTTATTTCTTTTTGAGACAAGGTCTCATTGTGCGCTCAAGCTGGCCTTGAGCTCACATTGCACTCCAGGCTGATCTCGACCTTGCAGTGATCCTCCTGCCTCAGCCTCCTGAGTGCTGGAATTACAGTCTTCTTTTCTTTTTCATTTCTAGACAGGGATGTTGCCTTGTAGCTCAGGCTAGCCTTGAATTCATGGGTGATCCTTCCGACTCAGCCTCCCTAATGCTGGGATTACAGGTGTGTGCCACCATGCCCATCTGTCCCTGACTTTTTTTGGGGGGCGGGGTACAGGGGATTGAACTTGGGACCTAGTGCTTGCCAGGGAGACACTTATGCCACTGATCTATATGCCCAGCTGTTCCTGACTCTGGAGTCATAACTTTCACAGGTGTAAGACTCCCAGGTGGATTGCATAAGAGTTATTTTTGTCAGATTATGAGCAAATCTTACTTACAAACATTCCCCTGAATTGGAGCTCATTTTTAAGTTACTCTTAATTGGTCTGTAGTTAACTGGGTCTAAATACTGTACCAGGGCCGGCCTGAGAGCTCAGTGGGCTAAAGCACCTACGTAGGCATAGCACAGTGGCCAGGGTTCTATCCCCAGCGTGCTGTGCCAGCCCTGCCTGCAGGGTGCGCTGAGAGGACGATTGAGACTGGGCATGGTGGTGCACACCTGTAATCCCAGCACGTGGGAGGCTGAAAACAGGAGGATCGGTATGAATCTGATCTATGTGGTGAGACCCTGTAGACACTGTACTAAATACAGAAAAGAGGGGCCGGGGAGATGGCTCAGTAGAATAAGCGCTTGCCTGGCAAGTGCAAGGGTCTGAGTTCAATCCTGGTTCTGCCAAATAAATAAATAAATAAATAAATAAATAAATAAATAAAAACATTTAAAAAATAGATAAAGAAATACAGAAAAGAAACAATGTACCAGAGTCCAGGAGCTTGGGGGTGCAGTGTGACATGTTAACTGACATGATGAGAGTTCAATTCACCGAGTCAACCACAAGGGCTGTTCTTCAGGACTCAGGGCCTGGCTCCCTCCATAAGTAAAATGACATAGGAAAGGGTGAAAGAGCTGTGAGAGACACTGCCCCAAGCTGACTGTCTGGTGCTGGCTTTGATCTTGATTCAAATCAATGGGCCCTAAAAAAGAAGTTTTTGAGGAGGATGAGCAAATTGTAACAGGCACCGTGTTAGATGATGTTGAGGGATTATCTACCTTCCTAGGGGTAACAATTACATTGAAGCTGTTTTGAGAAATGTTCTAATATGTGGGAAGTGCATGCTGAAATATTTATGGGTGAAATAATACGATGCCTGGGATTTTTGTTAAAAAGGTGCCCAAGGGGAACATGAAATGCGAATGGCAAAGTGGGGGTAGCTGTGAAGACGCTGATGGGGACCAGGGAGTTCGTTACACCACCCCCTGCACTTCTGTGTGTGTTTGAACATTCCCTAATAAAATAGCATGAACTAATAAGCTGCTCTGTGGCGCTTTCATTTTGCTGGCACGGCGTTTCCCATCCCTCCTCCCTCGCCTGCTCCTTTCTCCTGCCCCACATTCGGGCCCAGAGAACATCTGTTTTCAGCCAGCACAGCTGTCCTGGCTCCACTTCCTCTTCTCCCCACGCACCCAGAGGAAGGAGCAGCAGCCCTGGACTAGGTGCCAGCCCTGCCTGATTCACACTTGGCCCCCTGCCTGGCTTCCCCCAGGCCCACCCTCATTTCTTTTGGTTCCAAACACTTGTCCCCGCTCCTCTGTAACCCGGCATCACTTTGCTGGGCATGTTCCTCCTGCTCCTTCGCATTCCCCCAAGTCATTCTCCACTAAGATTTTACTGGGGCGGGGTGGAGGTAGAGTGTGTTAGATGCTACTCGGGAGGATCAGATGAAACAGGGAGCTCCAACTCCAGCGGAGAATCAGAGAATGTGGCATCTCTCAGAGGCAAGGATGGATTGCAACCATGAGGTGCTGGGAGGAAGGGCTAGTTTCTGAGGGGCTTGGGGGCGGGCAGGAATCAGGAGCACCTGATGTGGGAGGCGTATGGGATCTGGGTCTTGAGGCATGGGGAGGTCAAAAGGGGAAAAGTGTGTCACATTCTGTTTTGA